TTCAGCATCTTAGCTGTGGAGGGCAGTGTCACTGGCCCTCATATGTGGGATCCGAACCAGGGCCCTCTGGCATCCCAAGCGAGTTCTTAACCATTGCACCACTCAGCTGGCCCTTTTTCATACTTCTTTAACAGAACCTTGACAGTGGTATGTGCCTCAACCTGTTTGACCTTTGTAAACAGAATTTTTTTATGAATTAAACTCAAGGTTAGAACCTCCTGTTGAGACCATTTAGAATATAAACAATGTTTAAATGTTTGGCTAATAGGTATATGTGTGATGATGAGGTTTTTACAAATTGTGCTTTGATGGCTTTCAAATTGTTTTCCATTTGACCAGTATAGTTAGTCAAAGCTAATGGCTCCAAAAGACACTCTGAACTTGTTCATATTTGTCATTTATTCAAACGAAGCACAGTAGTCTTTGACGCCTCCATTCTTGGAATTGCTGTAGTTAAGTCTTTCTTGCTTTTTCATGTTCTGCAGCATCTTAGCTGAGGCTTCTATGCCTGTAATTGTTTCATCTGCTACAGTATATCTCACTAATTTAGTCTTCCTAAAACACTGCTTTATATTGGATAAAATTCAGACTCCTTAGTTTGTACCTCATGATCTTGCCCCAACCTTCTTAAGTTTTTCCATTTTTCTTCCAGTGAACTAGTCCTGATATATCACTTTATATATATGTGTGTGTGGATGTGTGTGTGTGTTTGTGTTTGTATGTATGCCTTTATTTATTTATTTATTTCACCATCCCAGTTCTTCCCGAACTGATTCCTATACGTTTTTAAAAATCAGCCCAAATGTCTCATGTGTGTTAAGTGTTTCCTGACATTAACAGTTTGGCATTATTCTTCCTTCCCGTAGGATGAGCAATTTATATCCATAGCTCTTACCCGTTTTCTCTAACTTAACACACTGAACAATATAACACCTTTATCATTACTTGCACCTCATTCATACATATTAACCTTTTAAATGTATTAACAATATGAATAAAAATTTAAAATTTTGAAAACAAAATGAAGAAAAGCAGGTGGACTAAGATATCCAGAACTTTAAAACACCAGCCTAAATATCAGGTTCCAAAGCGATATAGTTGATTTTTTTCTATCTGTATCTCACATAAAGTGTGGACCAGCCATAATATATTCCTAGGATTTTAGCACATTAAAAGAATGAATTATCTATTTCACTTTTCTAATATTGTAAAAGCAATTATTAAATATACTCTTAAGAAGTTGTCCATGTGTTTATAATAGTGTTTATAAGAAAAGATGGGAAGAGATTTTTCAGTGTCTAACAATAAAAGGTTGATTAAATAACGTGTCGAATGGAATACTGTTCAACTATTTAAAATAATTATATTTAATGAGTTAGGAAGTTCAAGATTAAGTGGAAGAGGTTACCATGTAGTGTGAACAGACTAATTAGAAGAATACATTTACTAAATTGTTATTACTAGTTTACTATAGGTGTGAGATAAATCTTATTAGGTTGAGGGAGGCATACCATAAATAAGCATTTTTGATTTATGTAATGGGGAGAATTTGTGTTTTTTTGAAAAGAAGATAGACATCCTTGAAAAATTAAAACAATCATTTGAAGCAGCCTTACCACCACATAATCACCCCCTTTGGAAATCTGTAATGCTGGGTTCAGGAAGTTTAGAAGTGATAATGAAGGATTAACTATCATGGGAAGAACTAAACAGATCATTTCAAAAATTAGATCATTTTAAAACCAGCTTCAGGGGAGCAATCTACTCGGTGTTCTCAAAGGGGTGTTGAAAAAGAATTCAAGAATTCTTAAATTTGTTGAGAAGTTTTGCTGTCATTTCCCTACTCTTCCAGCTCCCAAAACTTCAAAAGGTAAGTATAAGAAAAGGAGTAGTAGATAAATCTATTTTAATTTTGAAACTATATTAATAAACTATACAAGAAAAACCTGATTTGTTTTAGTTGTAAATAATAGCGCAACAAAACTGACTTTCAGATCTTTCAGACTTTCAGAAAAATTAAGGATTTTCTGTTTTAAAAGTTTTTTTCCTAGCATAAAAGTAAAACCCATATAGCATAAGGAAGATAGTCAATGGTATTGTAATAGTTATATAAGATGTCGGGGGTAGTAGCTTGGGGTAGAAAGGTTTCACTTTGTGAGAGAAGTAAATGTCTATTATGTTGCTTTGTACACCTGAAACTAATATATAAAGAAAAGTAATACTCATAGAAACTTCAGGAAAGGCAAAAAATTCTATTTAAAAATCAGGTTTACACCCAATGGCAACTATTATCCTCATTATTCCCTTCTAGTTACATAGGTGGATTAGCAAATCTATTTCTTAATCCAATTCATAACTATATGCCAGGGACTAGAAAGAGCATCTCCCTCTGGAGAAGATACAGGATGTGCTCAGGCTCAGAAATATTTTCTTTACATTTATCTAAAGTATAATTGAAAAACATACCACTAATTTTGTAATTTGTTTCATAATATTTTACTGTAAAAAATGCTTCAATTTTCTTCTCAAGGTATTTTAGTAAACGAGCATATTAAAAGATGTATCTCGTTTATCCTGTGGCTTCTGCCACATTTGCATGTTGTCTCCAAGGGTACCTTTCCATAGTGTGAGAAGCATTCTGAGGCAAGGGAAGTCAAAGGGTTTTCAACAGGAGAATAAGAAAATAACTACTGAAGTATGTGCACTGCTCAAGATTTGCTCAAAGAGAAATCTAAGGTCAGTTTGTTTCTTTGGACTCCAATAATCACATCAAATTTATCAAAAAGCTGAGCTGTTCTAAAATTGGAATTCACATTTGATATTCAAGAAACATTTACTAGTAATTACAGACATTTCAGTTCAAACATACAGCTATGGTTATCAAATGACACAAATTATGAATTCATAGTGTATGACCTGTCCGTTACAGCAACCCATTTAGAATGTAAGCAAAAATACTTTGTCTCAACCTATTTTTCTCACATTAACATTTTATAATTTAAATAATACTCTTAAGAACAGTAGTTTAATTTAGAAAGGCAAGTTTAGATTCTGAAAACAACTTGGCTAATAGAACAAAGAAACCATTACTTGGGAGTCAAAATCTGACTAAGGGGAGGGATGTTTGTCATCAAAATAGGCCTATGGTACAGATTTCAAGTCAAACCTTGTTATGCCACTTTTAGCATTTTACTGGGGATTGCATCCTTTCAAAATATAGGAAGGATACCCAAAAGTAAAGCTTCAAGTCCACAACAGTTACGGTACCACTTTTGAATTAGTGATTCTTAAATTTTTACATTTAAAACAAGGATTTGAAGCTTTAAAAATTGGTGACTTGTTTTTTTCTAGAAAGTTTTACATATACTCTCAGGAAAAATTTGTTGTGGTTTTACAATACTTCCTATATTCATTAAGAAAACCCTAAAAATAAGAAAATTCCTTCTGTATACTCTTTATCTTCAGCAATACCACATGGTCTGGATAGCCAAATTAGGCAGTTTAATTTGAAGTTTAGGTAAAAGTTCAAATTTCAAAATTAGCATGGAAATTCTTCATTCAGATTGATTTATTTTTATATGCTAATAAACACTTGTTCCCCCAAACCATTGTTCATGGAAGTCTTGGTGTGTATGGCTCATTTCAGGCCACATGTAGAGTATGGATGTAAACTAGAGAAGATTGAGAGACTTGAAAAAATATGAAGTTAAAGGTTATGAGGGGTTGAAAGGGTATTGAAAAGCTTGATTCAAAAAGAACAATCTTGAGACTTGTTTATTCTGTATTGCACTGGATGGCAAAATGGGAGATTGAGTTTCAGGGATGCAAATATGAACTCTTAAAACCAGCAAGGGCTTTCTACCAACTATAGATGTGTGTGTTAGATCACTTTACCAAGGACCTTAAGAGTGAGTAAATAAGCAGGGGAAATTAGTAAGATTTGAAGACATTTGAAATGAAGACAATACATCAGCTTGATCAAATCCTTGTCTTTAAAATGTAAGAGCATTTGTGCTAACAAAGGACACTTTTTTAACTAAAGAAAATTATAGGGAAACTTCTGGATATTTTGCTTTAGAACATTTGTTGCTGAAAATAATTGTTTTAACAAACTGACAGTATTAAAGGAAGATAGTTCAAGATCAAGGTTTCTAGAAGCAATGTCACTTGTCTGAGAACTATGAAATAATGAAAATGTTAACATTTTCATTAAGTACTATAGTTAGAACATAATTTTGAAATACTAAAAGCTTTTGTAAGTTGGCATTTATTTTCAAGGAGGGTTACTCTTTGAAGGCTCTTGGACAAATCCAGTATAGAACTGAATTATTAAGTTTTTGTTTTCCTCTTAAGACTTCAAGGGAGAATTAATTTGAAGAATTTGGATAAACTAACAGGAAGAAGTAAATTGTACAGAAATGTTTAATCATACAGTTTTATTTTGAGGAGACGGGTTATAGTGTCAATGGGGAATTCTTTTATGTTTATATCCTAGGGTGCTTGGATGTTGATAAGCTGCAGGGTCATAGCTTGGGCTTAGAATCACCACTTTGCATTCTCTTCCTGCATTCAGTTTCAACTGGAGCTTTGCTCATTTTACCAGATACATAGTAGGTTCTCAGCTACTTATTAAGTGGAGTGTTTCAAGGAAGATCAATCTTACTCTGAAATTGGCAGTGGGTTTAGTTGATTCTGGCATCAAATATGCAGGAAATAATCACTCTGAATATCTTTATCAGCCTTTTGAGCCCAAATCATTGTTGAGACTTGATTAAACATTATGGCTTGGCTGAGAAGATAATTTTCGTGACATCTTTTAATGCAGGCTTCTTAGTTTTTACAATTCAAGTACTCAGACTACTCTGGTTCTCTTCCAAATTATATGAGATTCTTGATATGAGAGAATTGTACATACAATAATGAACATGAGCCCTGACACATGTGTTAATGTTTATTTACCCCTCTGGGAAACGGGCCAGTAAATTTTTGTTGTTTATTTTGAGTGGTTATTTTAGTGAAAATGACTCAAGTCTATCAAGTCAAAACATTTTTAGTACCTACCCCGTAGGATTGTTGTTGATTTCTTAAAGTGCGTATAGAAACCACTAAGCTTTAAGTGCCGCTCTTAGTGATAGAAATAATAACTAACACGTTGATTGGTTAATTCTTTGCCAGACATTTTACATTTAATAACCCATGTCATTTTCATAACCACTCTGAGGAAGGTACAACATTATCCCCATGTTATAGGTAAGGAAACTGAGTCACAGGGAAATGGCATGCCTCGTACATAACTAGTAAGAGGGGGAGTCAGGATTCAAGCTCAGGTAGTTTGATGGCAGATCTCATGCTCTTAGTAATTATATCTACAGCCTCTGTCCTATAGCTAACAAGTTAGAGGAGACAAAATTAACACATTAAGCCATAAAATGTACAAAATGGTAGATACTTTGCAAAGAATGTCTTAAAGATAAGTTTATTTGTGGAGGTACTATACCAAGCACAAATTATCTTCTCAAGTATTCCATGATGGTACTACTTCCCTGCTGCAAGGAGGCATGCTCTTAGAAGTGTGTTTCAGTGACACTGGACATGGATGTTTATGTGTCCATGTCCTGTATGTGTGTGGTCCTTGGGTATACATCCAGATACACAAATTCAGTCAGCTCTTAATAGTCATCCCCTGAGAAAACAGCCCCTGCCTAACTGCAGAGTAAGTACACACAATCTATGTCATATTTGACTATTGTTTTTAAGATACTAAGTATCAAACATCATTGTCACCTCACTTAAGCACACTGTCTTTGAAAGCTCATCAAAATCTAAGAGAAAATAGACCATTTGTAACTAAAAGGCAGCAAACTATACATCTGAAATGTAAAATTTTGGAGATTATCTCTAAGCTATGGGATATACCAATTATTTTAGTATTTCACGTCAATTTAAAGAATTGGACTTCTGGCAAGGCTTCATAGTCATTAACTTCATTCTGTGTCTCACAGCAGTTCCAGGCAGTAGAGCAACTTAGCCTTCAGAAATGTTCTCAGGTATCTCAGAAAGGCAGCCACCTCCCACCCCCTCCACATACACACACAAAATTATTAACTCCCTTTTCTGTACTATCATAATAGTTTTATTGCTTGTTATATTGTAATTATTTTCTTCCTTTTTCTATTAGCCTATAAACCTAATAGGCTTGAGCTGAGAGACTATCTTAGCTCATTCGGTGACTAATGTAGCTGATGACCTCACATAGCACTCAGTAAATATGTTCTCATTATATAATGCACTGATACCAATTTTGATATGACTATTCAAAACAACTCACTGGTGAGATTGCCAGAGATTAGATCTTACTTTCTAGTGAAATTCTCCCAGGCACAATTAAGTCAAATCTATAGATTACCTGTATCACAATTACGTTGAAAGATGAGAAGGAATGAGAACATGAAGTAGTACTTGCCAGGTAATACAAAGTTCTATATGTGAAATAAGTCTTTGTAAGGGCCCTTTCTCATTGAGATGATGTACTAGTTAAGGAATAAATAATTTCACCGAGTTTTCTTTTCTCTCAGGTGACACAAATGAGAAATTTTGACTATCCAATGTAAATCTTAAGAAAAATTGTCTCTAACACTGAAATGGATTCCCAGATGTTCTTTCTGAGAAGTTACGAGAAAGCACTATGGAGGTCAGGAATTACAGTTAGCTTTGCAACAATCTCATAATTCAGGATTTAAGTATTAAGTACTTTTTAAAATGTTAAAATTATTTAATGGCGTTTTTTTTTCTGCTTCATCATTCATCTGATTGACCCTACCGTTGATTGTTTAGGATACCTTTAAAATCAAAGCCAACCTTGCTTAGACCGATGAATTCATATTAGCTTGTATCTATGAAATCCAACCAGGACAGCTATTTGTACCCTCTGTTTCTACCTCATCAAGAAATAGTTTTCACTTACATCTTTCCCACTGAAATCAGGGCGTGACCCATTCTCCCAGCACTGCATTTGTATTTTCTTGCTGATCTCCCCCAGACTCTGAACTCTTACCTGCCTGCTTGAACCCAGCGTACCCAGCCTCAGAATCCCACTTCCATAAGCCCATGGCTTTCAGATGTTTTGCTCTGCACTGGGAAATCATCTGGCTTCTGCACTTTACTTTTGTTTGGGGAACCCAAGGATATTCCCAAATGAACTGAAGCTCTTGCCTCAATATCCTGCTTGCTGTAGGTAGCCTTTTGGGTCGATTTCACATGGTGGTCTCTGTTGCTCTTCATAGTTAATTCCTCCCAAATTGGGCATAGCCTGCCTGTCAAAATATTTGGGTGTTTTATAGTTACTTGATATGTCTGCTATAAAATTTATTTGTATGAAGTTTTCTATAATTATTCACTGTTAGATAATCATTACCCTCATTTTTAGACAATGAATAAACCTAAGATATTGTATTAGAATAGGATTTTGACATCAAGATTCTAAAATACAACACATGGCACGATGCCAACACTTAGCTTTAGGTAGATAATTGCTCAATAGAACTTACCTAGAGACTTGGCAAAAGGAAGCATGAGAATGATGAAATTGTCTTATAACGTCATCTTTAAACCAGACCTGCTTAATTATTAGCCCTGGAGAGGGCTAAGAGGTTGGAAATTCCTTTTTCAGACAAGTTTACCTTTCTTGTTTCATTTACTGTCTTACTATGTTATATGAAATCATGCTGTTTAAATTTTCATAATTTTATTCATGTGTATAATGTATAATTTTACAATTTGTGGTGTCTGATATGTTATTTTCCAGTAACATTTCCTTACAGATATAAGGACAACATTAAAATTAAACTAAGACATCTGATACCTAGCAGATATTTAATAAATATTTAAGTTACTATTGAATGAATTAATAACCGATTTACTTAACATGGTGGTTTTAAAAGGTCAGAATTTTTAGAATTCCTTTATCAGCAAAACATAGTTTTGGAGACTTCTCTGTTTTCAAAGTGTTTACTTTTAATATTCAATATTTTTATATTTCTCATAGTTGAAAAGATGAAAGTCCATAGAAACAGTAAAATGAATTTTTTTAGATTAAATCTTTTTAGACTATGCTTTTGGTTTTGGTATTTGCTCCTACAGAAAAGAAATTGCTCTAACAAAAGCAGGTCTAAAGAGAGGATTTATTCAAGAATCAAGAATAACGTGGAAAATCAAGTAAAATAAATTAGAAGTGAAAATGTCCACTAGATTAATTAGATGAATCTAGACATGAGAATCTAAGTTATTTTCTATCATTTTGTCCTCATTTTTAAAAGGCTCAGACAATGAAATTTCCATCACTTCATTCTCATTCAGTAATGTGTGTACAGCTATTCATCCAAATGTCACTTTGTTCAGATGCCCTTCCCCCCTGATACCAGTCTCTTCAATGTCATCTATATGCATTTTTATTAAGATAACAAGTGAGCATGTAAGAGAAGCTAAAGCTTTACCATTGGTTTAGAAGATCATGAAATGAAGCAGAACAAAAAGTTATAATGCAGTAAAATAAAATTCATATTTGTGAATATTGTGCTAAAGAAGTGTTTAAGTAGCTTAGTTATTTTTGCCAGAAGAATGACAATGTAAACAGAAGCTTAAACTGTTCCTATCCCAGAGAGGTTAAGTGTGGTCACATTCAAATACTTAAAAACTGGCTCTGCCACTGGTTGGTTGTGTGACCTTAACCAAGTTGCTGTCTCTCTCCAAGCCTCAGTTTTAAATTGTAAGATGTCTTGTCCCAAATTTTTATAATCCTAGAACAGAGTTGGCCTCCAATATATCCATTTTGCAAATAATTCTGTACACTGACATTACTCATAAAAGCAAAGGGAAAAGTTAAATACTCTTGTAGATTTATATGGAAATCTCAATGTCACCTTAAAATTCTGGAAAAATATGTTTAACTTTGCCAATATAGAAAAAGTTTTAGGTTTGTTTCTCCCACCCTTTATCTGACCAACAGCTTGACTGTATGAGACATGATAAAAAAACAACAAAAGTTACTCCACTGGGACTCACTGTGGAAGAGAGGCACTCACTGTAAATGAAAAATAATAAATTTGAAAAGTTTATCAGGTAAAGCATTTAATTGAATTAATGAGACAATATGGAGTACTAGATTTAGTTAACTGATGTTTACAGTAATTTAAAACTTAGAATATTTTCTAAAACAAATATTTAAAAGTTTGCTGAATATTTAATGAGTAAGGATATTATTAAGTCATATAAAAGTATTATGTAATAAAGTATTATGTAGTAATATAGAAGTTTTAAGAATTGTGTTCAATGTGTTTTAAGCCATATAACTCGAGTGTTTGATTACAATTTCTCTTAAGATTGACTTCTTTCTTCTGGAAGTAGAGTTCAAGAGACTAATTTACGTTTACTAAGGATTCAATTTGAAGAATTCCAGTTTCCTTTAAGCAAGATTTCAGTTTACTTCAAACTCAACGGAAATATATTGTATTCATGATTTGACAACACACTTGGAAGACCTACATTCCTAAGGATTCGAATTATAAGCCTTTCAGTTAGAATCTGTTGGTTGTTATCAAGGCCATGCATTTGTAATCTCTCCTGCCAGAAATTGCATCAGAAGGAATTGGATTATCAAGAGTGGCTACTGGTTTTGATCTTGGTTATATACATGATGTATAGAATAGGACAATTTTACTCATGCAAATCTATTTTTGAATAGTGTGAAAATCTGAGGTGATAATTTGAGGTTTTAAATTCTGTATTTCAGAGTGAATATATAATTTTATTTCATCAAAAAAAGTTATTAAAAAACTACTTCAAAATGCCTTAAAATTTTTGTTTGCATTTTTAACTGAGATAATCTTTTATTATTAAGGGCCTATTCTGTGCCCAGTATTTCACTATAGTCTTAAAAAATAAATGATCTCTGTCAGCAAAGAACTTTTAGCCTAGATGGGAACATTATACTAACATACAAGAAACAACTAGAGGCTAGTGGAATGTAAAGTCTGCCTTGCTGACTTTAAGTGCAGTAGAAGCTCAAAGAAAATGTGGACTGAGACTCATCAGAGAAGACTTCGTAGAGCAGATGGAAGATGACTGGGCTTAAAGAATGAAAATTCTTTAAGTGAAATGAAGGAATTGGAGACTTTCAAGTGCCAAAAGCATGAATCGAGGCATGATCAGATAGGAAGGACTAAAGCAGATACACTAGATTGAAAGCAGAGATTTGTATTGGGGAATAGGTAGGTAAATGAGTGGAACCATGTTTGAAATTGTTTTCCTTCCTTTACATAAGGTGCCCTAATTTCTAATAGAAGAAAACAAGAATATTCGAATTGCCTGGACCTTTCAGAAGCCAATGTGTGAAAATTTGAAGAAAAAAGCATGATCTGTAAGAAATATTGGAAGGAAATTCTAGGCTTAAATTAGACAAATTTATCCTAAACGTTAATGGGTCTCTGGCTTTTAACAGTAAATCCAGTGAAAAATCTTGAAAGAGTTGCATAAATCTACTGTCAGGCTATTTTTTGCCCTAGTAAAATTGTGGGAATGATTGCTTGTTAATACCAAAGTACTGTTAAGCCAAATAGAAATACTCCTTTTCCAAACCTCTAATTTGCATCCAAGCCTTAGCTCAAGTTATTTACTCCTAAAATGTGCTTTCCCTCATCTTTATTCAACTGTCTAAATCTTAAGGACTATCTAACCCCTGCATGAAATGTTCCTAGTTCATTTTCCTCTTCAGCCAGAAATTCCAAAATTTCATTTCTCTTTTGTGCTTCTATACCTAACTTAGAACAATTAATACATCCTGCTTTATGGGCAGGGACTATCATTTTTTATTATATCTCAGCCAGCCTAACATAGCAGGTACTTGGTAAGTGGCAATTGATTGCTGAAAATCAGCAGTGAGCCTTTATGATAATATATTCTGGAAAGGCTAAATACCAGCTAGATAAATAATGTCTAGGCTCTTTCCTGGTAATTTAGGAGTTCTCTTTTACTGCTTATCAGGGCTCCTCTCATTCTATGCTACCTATTAACACCCATGCCTCAAGTTTTTGCTATCTTACAGTGTCATTTTTAAACATTTTTAATCAAAGCCAAAAACCTATAGGTGGGGGTATGAATAGTTGAAAGGCCTGTGAAATTTTTAATATCCCTTTTTGAGGGCCATTAGTGACCAAACTGATCATCTAAAGCTTTCCAACTAAGTAGTTTGTTTTGTGTTGGGCTTTATTTGTGTGTTTCAGGAGATGGAAGATCGTAGTAGAATGAAAAGTCCTACATGAAAAAATACTTTCCAAGAAACACCATTACCATAATCAAAAAAACAAATGTATTCAGTATCTGCTGCAGTTCTTTAAAGTGACTGAAGAAAATGGTATGCCTCTGAATCCCTCTGCTTACTGGAGCTACCTCATAGAGTGGAATAGGTTTTCTTATAAATTTTCTTGGACAATTTTTATAAGAGACTTATCTAAATCACACCTAAAGTGCTTTAAGAAATCTAAGAAAATTGTAGATCAAATATGCAGTGTTTGTTTTCTGCTAGGACATTTAACTCACATTTATAATGTGATAAGGGTTTATTTTTATTTACCCTGTAAGCTTTTATGTAAAATCTCTAGGACATTTATGTCTATTTTCCAGAATCTGTGTATCAGTTATATATATATTTTTAAGTCTATTGTTGCTGTTGAGTTTGGTTTGGCTTTGAGGGCAGTTAATATATTTGTTGTTTAACATGTAGCCAAAAGTCAGGAATTCAACCAGCAATTAAATAATGGTTGCTATGGCAAGTTTCCCCTCTATATTGATTTGCTTTATGACCTGTTTTATAGGCATGTATTTTCACAACACCCAATATCCCTCTGCAAAAAAAAAAAAAAAGAGCTGGCTATACCTGTACCATGGGTACCTAGACCATGTGGAACAAGGACTGAGACTGGAAGCTGCAAACAGACATTGTCTGGACAGAGCAGAGTGCCTGAAAACAGCCACCTAGCGAAGGGCAGTAAATGTGACGTGAGATGATCCCCTCGGCACAGAACTGTGAGTAACTGGGGAGTTAGAGGGGGATTTGAAAGTTGTCTCTGCTAAGTCAATAAAAAATGTCTTCATTTTGTAATTTGTGACCTGTATGCTAGTAAATTATGATACACTAAGTTGTCAATAGCGGACTGGTTTGTGGATAGAAATTTAAGCCAAAAGAGATTGCAGTATTCCCCCAAAAGTAACTTGGGACCTTTGTCTTAAAACCTGAGGCAAAGGTCACATGAATTTGGATTACAAGGTTAGAATTAAGCTATTGGACCTTTGCCTGGAAAACCAATTAGAAGATGTTAGTCTTGATAGAGCAAGAAATAGGGAGGCAGTATAGCCTCTTGAAACAAAATAGTGGAAGTTGACCAAGTAATGGAATTTTTGGAAATTAAATGTGGCAATACTATATATAGAAATATTCTAAGAAATAAAGTCTAGTGGCAAGGAAACTGGGCATGTGTCTATTGTAGTAATCTAGGAGTGAAGAAAACCTGGATAGAATAATGGCAATGAGACTGAAGATGAACGAATAAATTTATTTCAGAAGAAAAAATTGTAGAACATCATGATGAGTTGGACAAAAGGGAGGTATCAAAAATGACACGTTTTCTGTACTAGAAGACAATTATGGTGTCACTGAAAGCAGTCAGTTAAGCGAAGCGAGTTTGAGTAGGAGAGCTATTGAGTCCCATTTTTGTAATACTGAATTTAAGATGATATGCAGGCATTCCATTTGAAATGCTTTGATTAAAGGTTGCTGAATATACAGAACTGAAATTCTGTGTAAAGTTCCAGCTGATGAGGTAAATTTGTCATTATCTACATAAAACTGATATGGGTAGACAAACTAACTGAAGAACTTTATTAAGGACAATAGATCCCTTTAAAATAGAAATTTATAAACACATGTTTATGTAAATAAATTATTTGATTAGTTATGTAATCTTAAATAAACATTTCCAGAATTGAATTAAAACTCTCCCTTTTTTCCTTAGAGTGTCATATCTCAAGCTTGGCCTGTAAGAAAATCCCTACATTTGTATCAGTCCTGAGTGTCAGTGACTAAAATGTGTTAATATTCTTGAACCTTACCCTTCTATTAATAAAACAAAGATCTTTCCCAGTATTAGATTGAGGGAATGAAATTGAGAACTTCAAGTCCAAATAATTTAGTCAGTTAAAACTTTATAAAACTGACATGGCTTTAATTTCTCAAATGGAAAGGCAAGTAATTGAATTGTGGGAAATGTGCCGGTCTCCAGTTTCGAGAAACAGTACAGCACAAAGACCTGGCATTCTGGCTGAAGAGCTGTAATAATAAACAGAAATTTGAAAACCAGGAAGACAAGTTTTCCAAGAGTGCAACTGTGGCATTTCAAAGGAGATATAACAAGAAATTCCGGAAGGTGGCCAAAAATAGGTTTAGATAATTGAGAGTCCTTATTTGAATACTTGTTTTTGATGGAGAAACGCAGTTAAGTGGAAATGAAGGTTCTGTCTAAAAGATCTGAAACTTTTTCTCCCTCTCAACCTAAATCGAGTTTGCTTCTGAAGAAAAGTGTTAGCCAAAAAAAATCAAATAGGAATTCAGTACTGCTTAAATTGTAGCCAGGAGTTTAAAAAGTGACCAAAGCAAAAAAAAAAAAAAATCAATTAACTGAAAGCAAATATTTTAGTTTTTTAGGAGCAAACCGTTGATTTGTAGGATTCCTATTTAGAAAGTCAAAGTATCTTGCTCTGTTTACCTAGTTATTACTTGCCATGAAAAATAGCCATACATCATTAGGCAAATACCATATAACTCTACATCTTTGATTTTTTAATATGTTCTATTTTAATGACATGTAAGGAAACCTAAAATGTTAATCTGCACTTCTAAATAGTCTTCAAGAAACTCAGTAATATGTCTTCTGGATATACCAGAATCTTTTAACCATTTCACCTCAACCCTTGAACCATTTGATTAATCTAAGTTCAGTGAACCTATGACTTCAAGTCAGGTTATCCAGAATTGGGTAAGTTTTTTTTCTGTACTCCATCCTAGTTACATCTGATTTATATGCCTGGTCTACTGACTTCTGTCTTTTCATGACTTCTAAATTATGGAGGTAAGTCAAGATTTAATATTGACTATAGTCATGTAACATTCATTCTGAACATGTATTCCCTTAAAGTTCCTTTGATTACGAAGCATTCTTGTAGCATTGCATTTTTATTAGCAAATTTTGTATATTCCAGTTTTGGCTGGGTTTTTTTATTGATTAAAAGTATAATTTTGTGTAACTTTCAATGAGTTAGTATTCCTATATACATCTATATGTTCATCTCATTTTGTAAACATCTAATAGAAAAATACAATTTTTTTCTGTAGCCTTTAACTTGAACCAACTTTCAGACTCTTGACATAAAGTACCCTCATCCATCTTTCAATCTACTGTAAGTCTTGTTTTCCCAAGTGCCTGTTCACTGAGACAATAGCGTTCCAAATTTTTCAGTTCAGTTGAGACTATTAGATGTCCAGCATGGGGAATATAAAGACCAGTATAAAGCACAGCCTCATCTTAAAAGAGCTCATGGAACCTCAGACATTGCAGCCAGACTTGCCTGGGTGGGTGGGTGAGTGGGTGGGGGGTCTCTTATTACAAGAAGGGTAAAATCAAACCTGTCCTATTTGGCTTCCGACTTGAGTGCCCAAAGAAATTCAAATTCTTACCAGAGTATGAAATGATAGAGAGTAACTTGAAATAGAAACATTTGGTATTTGGTGTGTTTTACTCAACTGATGAAGTAAAAAGCCACTTGAAAACAATGATTTCTGGAGTTGAGGTGTTGGTGTGAAATCTGAAGGTACAGGATGCTGCCTACCTAAAGCTCTGCATGGTTAGACAAGTCAAGCGCAGTTTAGTTTGAGAGCAAAGTCCTGTTTATTTTGCTGCGTGTTGTTGCTTTTTTATTCTGTGCCATGCTTAATACTCATTTCCCATTCATCATGTAAGGTGTTCGCTTTTTATCCATTTAAAGATTTTTGTGGTTAGATCTAATAGTTTAGATAAATACTATGGCATTTTCTAAGCTTAGTAATGATGAGATGGTGAGTTTGGGGTGAAATTTGTACATAACTTTTCATCTCTAGTAGGTCCACTAGAAGGCCTGATCATTCCTGAGGCATAGTTCTGTGGCAAAGCTGGTGAATAATTATGTTTTGTTTAAAACACTAAGTTTGATGTTACATTGTTCTCTTCCATGGGTTCTTTGGCTCCAGGAAGGTACTAAAATTTCCTCAGTTTCTGTTTTAAAATTTCCTGTTAGTGGCTGCTTACATTGCTAAAACTTGCTGTTATATAGTCAACTTCCTCTGCACAGAGGAAAAGTAACAGTGGAATATGGGAGATTTAGAGAGCTATTAGAAAGTCTCTTATTATCCGAGCAAAGTCTCGGGTGATGTGACCATTTCTATTATTTATGATGGAGAAACGACACAAAAACTTACAAAGCAAAGCTGAAGTTTGTCAGATGTAAACATGATTCCCTAAACCATGTTTCTCAAACAGCTTGCCCTTGACTATTTTCATATTACCTCGGGCTCCTGATTTCAGATATATTTTAAAAGCAGCCCAAATTAATTCCAATTTTACCATAACCTAAGAACACTTTCTAATTATGACTTGTATATTAAACCCAAAAGTAAACTTCAACACTAGAGCTCCTTTCAGAAAATCTTTGTAGGGAGAACTTCCAATTGCTTATAAGGTAAATTACTGAGGTTCAAGAATAAGCTAAAATCTTTAGTGCCTTATCAGAAATGAAGCTGAGTGATGGAAAGAAGCTGAAACAAACATAGGAGAAGTGGGAGAATAGGGGAGGCCCAGCTACTGATGGCACCATTAAGACTGACAGACCTTAACATGTCACTGTGATGATTCATACTTAGATATATATGGACTGATAGGTGTATATGATTTAATGAACAAAGTTTTCAGCATGGCTGGCCACAACAAACTTCTGCCATTATTTTCTTATAATTGAAAATAAAGTGACAAATCAGTTCATTCAAGAAGTGGTACCCATATGAAAATGTTAATCTTTTTTTCTTTTCTAAAGCAGGCAAGAGTTTTTTAATTTGCCTGTGGTACATCTAACATATCTCTATTTTCTTCAAACTACATTTGCCTGCCTTCCTTTCTTAAGACTCAATTTTGTGCATGTCTTCACATCCCAGTTACAGTGTCCTATTCTATTTTGGAGTGAATACCAGAGGCTTACTGAAATGATTTTGACAGGTGTGTCTCCAGATGAGATAATCTCTAACATATTTACTAAAATAAGGAACTCCGTCCACTCTGAGAGTACACGTCCCCTATAATGAATAATAAATATTTTTTAATTGTGGCAGTCTGCCTCCTAAAAACCTCTGCATTGTGAACTCATGACTTTTGAGACACTATTTAATAAAAGGCTTAAGTTATTTTAATTTGAACCCATTGTGAATGTTATGAATTGTATTTGTAGTAAGCTCTAGAAGGGAAGGCATTGTTTTGTTCCTTGCAATATCTCCAATGTCTAGAATAGTATTTGGCATACAGCAGATGTCAATAAGTATTTATTGAATGAATGAATGTTTAGTATATATGATTCCATAGGTAATATGTTTCTATTTAGCACATTAAAAAGAACATTTCTCATCTCAAACTAGTTTTCTGCAAAAGTGAATGACTAAGAACACATTAATAGTAGTTTAAACATTTCCTGTCTTATTCCTTGCCAACCTATAGTTACAATATTTTTTGTTCCAGTATTTTTAACCAGTTGTCAGTTTTTAATAATCTTTCCAACAAAGCACTATGCAGAATTAAAGTGTTACATTTATAACCATGCCAACTATACCCAACTAGTTAAATCACATACATGCCAAAACTTAGAATAGAAATATTGTGCCCTAGAATGTGATGCTAGCAAGGGAACTAGACAAAACAAAGCATCCCCAAAACTAAGATGACATACTAAAACTGCAGAAAAGAGAGGGTGAGTGCCACCAAAAACAAAACACTTATTCGTAGAGATTTTTTTCTTATTTGGGTCATTATTTTCAATTGCTAACCTTAACATTACTAATCTTAAGGTATTCTGCACTTTTATATTATACATAAATAACCTTTTAAGGTATTATTAGGAAATGTTTTTAGTTATTTTTTTTAATCTTTGTTCCCTACAACCTTAGTACACAAATCTATAAGTATTATAATTACTAGAAACTTCTGGAATGCATTCTCTTTACCAAAGTGGAGTTTCACAGGGAAGGGTGATAGAGTAAAATCTGTGTCAGTATAACAGGCCATATTATGCTATAACAGTCCCCCTTACCCTGCCTGATACACACACATACATATACATATTCTGTCAGGTGTGGCTTTGTTTTTAATAGATAATACATCTACATGGTCTGGTGAAAAGTAAGTCTTCCTCACACACCTAAACCCCACTCACCCAGTTCTCTCTCCACAGGTGACCAGTATATTTGCTGAAAAACCCATGCATATATAAGAAAATAAGTATTTTTTTCCCACAAATCGAAACTATCAATGGAAATATATCTTTGTCCACTTTATACATTGTTCTGCACCTTGGTTTTTTTCCACTTGTCTTTGACAATCCTTCCTTATCAGTTTGGAACTGCTGCTTCACTCTTTTTAAGAGCTGCATAGTGTTTCATTGTATGAACCATAATTTACTCGTTCCCTACTGATGAACTTGAGTTTATTTCTGATCTTTTGCTGTTATGAAGATATATGTTCTCACTTGAATGTGAGCTCCTTGAGAATATGGATTTTTTTCCTTACTCATTTTTTAATCCTGAAAACTTAGTATCGTGTCTAACAAATGTTTAACAGATGTTTTTTAATGAATTAATCATACTTTTTAAAATGGTGCTCAACTGCTTCAACTCAACAGTTTTTAATTCTACTATGTACAAAGTACTTACCCTCTTTGACTTAATGATTCCTCTTCTAAATGTTTATCCTAGTGTTTAAATTGACACATATATAAGAATTCCTACAAGAGAAGTCACTAAGTCAAATTATATGTGTATTTTTTTTTTTTTGGCTGAGCCATCCTGCCACCTGTAGGCAGCTCAGCGGCAGCTCAGCTCGGGCCAGGAATCGAACCACTGTTGCTCAGAGCTCAAACTCTTGAGCGAGCTCTTAACAAATTATATGTGTATTTTAAGTGTTAGTAGAGGTTATTCAAAAGTTTTTCACCAAATGTAGCTGCTAATTAGTAACAAACATACTATTCCTCTCACTAAGTGTTTAGCACTATTGAGTGGATCGAGCTCACATTCAAGTGAGAAAAATTCGTTTTTATGATGGCATATAAGTCTGCAGAGGAAAGGGCTGATTAATATCCTGGAGAAGGAGGAAAACAAGGTCTCACAGAAGAGGTGTGATTGAAAGTGGGCAACCCATCTTCATCATCTTTAGCATCACCATCATCACTACTAATAGTTACTGGGTGCCTACCATGTGCCAAGAAATGTGTTGAGAACATTATCCTTTAATCCTCATGTATCTTACAAGGGAGATATACTTATTATCCCCATTTGATAGATGAAGAAGTTGAGGCACAAATAGGTTAAATGATTTGCCCAAGTCGTATAGCTCATCAGTGATGAAGTTGGGAATAGAAATCAAGCAGTGTGAATCCCGAGCCCATTTTTGAAAGAATGTAACTGTTCAAGAAGAAGAGAAAGGGCAAGAAGCTTGGCAGTCAGGGGAGTATGTGCCAAGGCGCCAGGTGCATGGCGTTGTGCAGAAAGCAGCAAGCAGTCAGTGTGGCGTACACATTGCTGAGGTGTAGCTGCCCCAGATGGCACGGTGGGGGACAAGGCCAAAAAGTTAGGCAGAGTACATGTCCAATGAACATGTTTAACCTAAATATGGAATCTCCATATGAGAAAATGGCAATTTCTCTTTAAAAGAGAATACAAAAATCTCATTTCTTTTTCTGAGATTGCTCTGGCATGATGGTAGCCTCTGGTTTCACTGTTTTGTTCATGGCGAGAGCTTCAGGCTTTTGCATCCTTTCAAAGCTATAGCATTCGGTTTTGTCTTCAGGGGATACTGTTCTAGTGCTGACGAGGTGGAAGCCTTCCATTAATAAAGTGTCAATCAGTAAACCGAGGACATTAGTTCCGTTGGCCAATTTTCGGTTGTCAGGTTTTATAGAAATATACCTAGGACACACAAAACATGTTTAATTATAAAGCATCCCTTTAATAACAAGCAAAACTGAACACACAAATTTGACTTATAAGCTCAAAGAAAGGTATACCATTTTTTAACAGGTTGTTTTTTTTTTTTTAAAGATTTTTATTGGGGAATTGGGGGAATGGGAACAGTGCTGGGGAATTGGGGGGAGGGGAACAGACAAGTTGCTGTCGTTTTGTTCTTCAGTCTAGTTGTGGAGGATGTTGCTTCACTGGCCCTAGCTGGCACCATCATTGCGCTCTTCCCGGGCGAGGCACATCAGTCGCCAGCTTCTGGACGGCTGCTCACTGTGGCTGCTGGCCACTCACGCTGGCTGCTGGCCACTCACGCTGGCTGCTGGCCGCTCACGCTGGCTGCTGGCCACATACGGTAGCCCACGGCAACCCACTGCCACAGGGGCCGCAGCCCACGCCGTCGCCAGCAACCCACAGCAGCCCAGCTCCAGGTTGAGCCGCCGTTCAGCATCTTAGCTGTGGAGGGCAGCGTCACCGGCCCTCATATGTGGGATCCGAACCAGGGACCTCTGGCGTCCCAAGCCAGTTCTTAACCATTACGCCACTCGGCTGGCCCTGAACAGGTATTTTTTGAGGCTTCATTTATAAACTCAAATCAATAATTTCAGAGTACTGAAAACAGAGATCTTGCTGTGATCTACCAAGTCATTTTACTTCTATATTTAGGAATATAACCAACATGGATGAATTTTCATTAAGGAACTATTTTCTGGAGCAAACAATTTGATCAAACAATTTACTTTATTGTCAGTTTTTACTCAATAACTATTGCTGAAGAACAAAAACATGGGATCAAAAGCCTCTGGAATTGAAATGACAAAACCGTCTATTTCCTGGGAAACTCGATAGAACCAATCCACATAATTCAAGAAAAATACATCTGAACCTTTCAGGTTGGCTCTGTGTTGGCTTTAATAATGTCAACATAACCTATTCGTGTAGATAAGCTATATTACTCCTTCTTTATCTACTGTCAAGGATATTTCTATGTCTTTGTGTCCTCCCACCATTTGTCTATGAGATAATGAAGCAGACGCTAACTTAAATTAGTTCCAGGCAGCAAGCTAAACTATCTGTAGTTTTATGGAATAAAAAGAGCCTTGGGGACATCCCTGAACTCCTTTTAATTATGATTGAAATAGAGTAGTTTATTGTAGCTCACATTTAGAAGCTCATTCTAGGCGAAGAAAGCAATTCAATAATAAAATGTAACAATTATAAAACTACAAAGTACACATCAAAAATGTTTGTTTGATATAGCAAATTTTTAACCTTAATCATTCCATCTACCTCCAAGCCCCAGATTTTCATTGTATAGCCTAGAAACATTTTTCAAAGAGAAGAGTTACAGACCACCTCACAAAATTAAGATACAAATACTATACAGTAGGCGATAAAGTGGCATGCACTTGCAAGAAATCACTGAGCCAGAGTACTTAATTCCCTATGAGGTCAAATTGAGAAATGAGAGATTTCAAGGGACAAGAAAAGTAAAGAACAAACCAGTGAGAGATAGAAAGTCAAAACGTGTTTTAAAAACGTAAAAGGCAACTGCACTTTTCCATTTGAGCCAGTTTAAAAAGGAAAGTGAGATAGAATAAAGGCTACCAAAGACCCCAAATCCTGTGATCATAACTTGAGCTTGATAATTTACCACATCTGCAAGATGGAAGCCAAGTATTTCCAGTACAGTGAACTTGAGAGATAATAATTGAGTAACCTGCTAGGTTAACAAGATCTTAGAGTAGTAAATCATATCAGTGGAACATACTAAATAGTTAGATGATGCACCAGACTCCTAGGAGCCATGCAGGCTTACTCCTCCACTTTTCACCTTCAAAAAACATCTGAACAGACATATTCACACCAGGGAGTAAGCAAGAAATCAGAATGATTGCTAGCTTGGCAGTCATCTAAGGTGGATCTTTTAAGGCCAGAGGTTTCATCGGGTCACCTGAAATCAGTGATGCTACCTCATTCAGGTTATCAGTCTCTACTTTGAAATTGGCACTATACAAAAAAATCACACACACTTCTGGGGTGGAAACTTCAGTCAACAGAAAAGAATACTATTTGGGGATGAAAAATTTTTTTTAATTTTAAAAATAGCTTCTGGTTTTAGAATTACCTGCTTTGGAAGTTTAAATATAATACCATTCTCACATGAAGATAAAAAAAAATTTGTAGTTATTTCTAAAACATACTACTTTAACAAAAGGGAAACCACTTGGCACTGTGTATCCCAACTTGAGATTCTAATCTCGCTTTGCACGATTACAATTATTTTCTCCAAATGCATAGTTTTTAAAGAGCATTTAGTATTTCCAGGATATCTTTTTTATATTGCATGTTTCTTCTTAAAATCAATAACAGCATTTTTCTTTCGGTGTCTAACTTTTTAAAAAGGGATATTTAAAAAACAAAAACTGGTAATTTCCTTTCTGTTTATCAGTGCCCCACCAATGAAAAATGTTGTGCACAGAGATTTGAGATAAAGATAGTCTTAGTTTTGGTCACAATTAGCCTAGTAATTTAACTGGTTCTTTTCCCAAAGTGACATCTCAACCTCTTTGGAAGAGCAGGAAATTATAAAGTATAAAAACTTAAGAACTGTCATACTGCCCAGTGCTCTTCAGTCAGTAAGCAAGACCAAGGGGTGTGTTGTGGGAGAGGCAAACATTGGTTGTTCCTGAAGGCTACTGCTGAACTTAAGAAAATATTCCAATATATGTCTTATCTACCTTTACTCCCCAAAAGTAATTTTATTTTAAATACTATAGGTAAAGAACATACGCAGTATCTTTTTTTCCTCCTGAAAATTAAAGCCAGCTTTCACAGATAATAAAATAATTGTGGGACAGCATTAAGATATTTTTAAGGGAAAAAACAGTATCTGTGACAGCAGAGTGGAAATCAGCCTTATGGTCCAGCCAAAAACAATAGGGGGAGAAAGTGAATAATTGACTCAGGAGCAACTATCCTTAACATACTGACAGCCTATCCCAATATTTTGAGTTGTCTACGAGTGCCAAAGATGTAAAAGGATACCCAATTTGCCATGGGATATATCTGCCTTAATGGTGTTTAAAAATAAAATGGGATGGAGAAAAATCAGTAGTCAAATCCTAAGGCCTGAAAGAATAAATACACATAGAGTGTAAGAAAATCAGGACAAACTATTGAGTCTTTGCTGAATGCCAGACACTAAAAGAATCTCTTGGGGGCTGGGAGAAGGCATTTCATTCCTAAACCAAATTCATTAGCCAAATATAGATTAGTGGAACATAATCTATAAAATTATTTCCTCCTACAACTTGAATGACCACAGTCCCAGTTTCCCTGGACAGTCCTGTTTATTCCTATTGTCCCACATAATAACAATACCCTCTTTCACTCTGAAAAGTCTCCCAGTTTGGACAGTAATTATCTGGTCATTCTACCCAACTCTAGTGTTCCCCAGAACATTATTTTGAGTGATCAGTTTTTCCAAGAAAAGTTTCAAGCATGACATTTTCAGTTTTGAGGGAAAACATCAGGAACTGGTACAGAAGAGAGATGCTTCAAGGTACAAAATACCTGAGTCCAGTTTGGTTGTCAGTAGTGCTGTCAGAGCCACACTGGAAAACCAGGTCATGGTAGGAAGGTCTTTGTGGAGGCAGTGGAAGTAAGATCGTCTGAGGAGGGAAAGAGCTACTACTCCAGGCAGTTGCAGAAGGTTGCTCAATAAACACTGTAATCCTCCCAGTTAGCATCTCAATTGTTTTGCTGCAAGAGCCAAACACCCTGAAAAAAGCTTGAGTGTTTCGGCTTAGGAAATGCACCTCCACAAGAGCGGGTCTTGGCTGTAACTGGTATTCTTGGTTTAAGAGATCAACCAGAGGATCAAGTTCATAGAAAAGAGCCTCTCTCTGAAGCCTAAGATAGTCAGAGAAGTCAGTGGGTAATAAAAGCTGTTGAGTTCTCAAAAAATCTAAGATGAAACTAAATAATTGGCCATCTCTGTCCACAAAAATCTGGCCACCAACCATCTTGAATTCTTGGTCTCTTCCATCTAACATTCGTGTCAACCGAGAGGCAGGAAACTGCTTTATCGTAGAACACTTTGTTGTGAATATCTTCCCTCCCACGTTCAGAGTGACCAGTTCCTGACTACTCATTCTTCTCTTGCTTCAAACTAGAGGTTACAAACCATCGGCCAGACTTAGGAACTTGTAAATCAAAATTTAACCATAAATGTTGCTAGTTATATATGATTAATAAGTGGAGAGGTGGGGAAAATAAAAAACAGACCTAGATTCCCAGGTAACGACTGTAAAAGTAAATAGTGTATCCACAGCTGTGTTTGCAAAATTCGAGTTGCTTGGGAACTTGCAGTATACAAAATGAAAAAACAACAGATGAGGAACTGGATAGTTTAAAGGAAGCTGTCAATACATCTGAGGGTAGTTGTCAAATAGATTGCTGTATTCCATTAAAAAAAATTCTCCATGAAAATCTATTATAAATCTGTATTAAAAAAAAATACTGAGAACAGAAAAGCACTCGCCCTCCACAGACCTCTAATCTACTATGAGTCTTCATGGCAGAAGTTAAGATTTACAGAGAAACATTATCATGATTTCTTATGATCCATTTAGCAATTTTCATCATGAATTGTCAGTTAGGGATGAGAGACAGCCATTACCTTAACTAGCAACTTAGTCTAATTCTTCTTATAACTGTTGGGCTGTCGGAATCCATGACGCATTTTTGCATCGAAAAACATAGAAAAAATACATCATGACTTTTCCAACAACCCAATAGAATGGTTCTGTACTTTAAATGTAGTTGCCATCTTTTTTTCCTGTACCTGCTTGTTCTCGCTTCTCAGCCAAATTAAAGGGCTAGGGTAAAAACACTCTGGGCTTTCAAAGAAATGTCTTGTTCCATGACAGAAATAAGGTAGGCTAGAGAGCAGGTCTAAGATAAGGTCACTTTCCGTTTCACCTGAATTATAAACCAGGTGAGAAAATTAAGTGTTGTTATTCTGTGGGAGACAGGGCATTTTTATTTCATGTGAGCAGATAGGATAGCATTAATGTTTAGTGATTACTTTGTACTTTATAACAGCTGATAGATTCTTTCATCTGTTGTCAAATTAGTCTTAACTACTCTGAAATTCTTTAAGCAAGTGGACTGGTTTGGTTGATCAGTTGCCATGATACTTTGAGACAACACAACACTTAGCTGCCAGCAAAAAGGTGACTTTCCCATTCCCTGCTCTTGCCCTTAAGATTTTTTTTTTTTAACCTATGCTTTTACTGTACAGCCACCTAAGTCTTCTGTAGTTTATCACCAAACCCCTTTGGTGATAAATTTACAAAACCTAAGGAGAAAAAGGCAAGCTGAAATCTCCACCCACCTAAAAATGTAGACTTATCACAAGATACTGGTTTTTGTTTACATGAGATTTACATATTTTAGCAAAAAAGGAAATCAACCCTCTGTAGAAAAATATGGAAATCCAATCCATCTGTGTCTTCTTTCCTTTTTAAAGAATGTTCACTCTCAGAAAAAAAGTTGCTTTACAAGAGTAGTCTTTATTACATGCTTAAAGTGAACAATCACGATTATACTAATCCATCAGTACAATATTAGGTTATGTGCTCTCTCACCTCCCCTATTTACACAGCATAAATGCAACCAGTATTGGGGGTAGGATGCTTATTTCAAAAGCACTCTTTCAAAAGGAAGGAGGATTCAGGACTGTACTATTAAATTTCACTTTTATCTTTATGCTACCTACTTTGAACATGTGTAAGGCATTATTTTGGAAAGGAATTCTTTTGGAGGAAAATACCTGACGGGAATCTTCGACTAAATCTGGACTACCACTCCATTCTCTAACAAACATGTAACAAAAGACAGAGATGTACTTGAAACAGATTTTATAATAGTTTGTATTTGCACATAAATTCTGCCACATTATTCAGCACCACCAAAGTAAAATTCTTGAATCTTTCACTGAAAATGAAAAACCCATCTGTCACCTGTTCCCAGTAAAAAATCGATTGTTCCACAAAATCAGGTGATTTAGTCAGATAGGAACTGAAGTGTGAAAGATGGTCTTTCCAGGTTGAGAATTCATCAACGAACGACCATTCTAGGAATATAGCAGGACCGAGGAAAACGAGAAAGCCAAGCAGGATGACTACCACAAGTAACGGATAAAAGCTCCAGGGAATCTTGCTAATGAACGTGCCAGTGTCTTGAGGCAAAGCGAGTTTATCCACATCTACCAGTTTTATGTCTTCCCACTGGCTGGTATCAAAGTTCTTCATTAAAGGGCTTGTGGGCAAATTAGAGGGAGGTAAAGGAGTTTCCTTGATGACTTTTATTTTCTCCCTGAACTCCTGCATCTGCTGCAGAAATATGATTGGTTCTGACACGTCTTTGAAGGCCTCAGCAATGTTAAAGGCCATTCGTTGTTCCTGCAAGATGGTGGTGAGTTTGTTAATTTCTGGGTCATAGGCTTGCATAACCGCAAGTTTCATGGTCTCAAAGTCAGACAAGATTTCATTCTTCTTTTGATCTAATGTGTGTTGTAACTTCTCAAAAAACTCTTTCACTTTATCTGAGTCTTTAGTCAGTAACTGTAGAGATTTCCTTTTGCTAGTTTCCAAGGTATCCAAGCGAGAAAGAGCATCTCCCCGACGCCAGGTCTCAAAGCTCTGGAAGAGGGACTCAAAGGCATCCCTTTCCTGAGCATAAGCATCTTCAATAGAACAGAAGACATGCTGGGTGTGGTCACCACAAGTAGCGCAGATCCCACAAATCAGCTGCATATCAGTCAGGCAAAAAATGTTGAGAGGCTGCCCCAAGTGTCCTTTGCACACTGGCATTTTGGGAGAGAGCTTGATCTTGTTGTACTTCTCCACAATACCCTTCAGGGAGTAATTAACCTGCAGGCTGTTGACTCCAGAAGCTGAAGTTTCCTTACGGCACGTGGGGCACTTGAATGGAGATGACCTCCACAACGAATTCCGCACATTCCCTTCTAAGAGCCCTTCTAAGCATTTTTTGCAAAAGTTGTGTGAGCAAGGCAAAACTCGGGGATCATCAAACAGACTGCAACAAATTGGGCACGTAAGATCTTCTTCAAGCAGCTCCATCACATCCTAACAGAGAGAAATCAACATTTTATTTTACTCCAGTAATCCCCTCCACTTGAACTAGGTAATAATTAGAAGAGACTGTCTTCACAAACATTAAAAATGATCTTTCACTGAAATAACAAGGCAGACAAAGGAAATAAGTGAGAAATTTGGGAAGGGAATGCACACCAAAGCAGATGTAATCTGCTGGGACTAGAAATCGCTCCTTATTAGCAGGGCTCCCTGTACACAAGGCCTTTGTGTGGGCTTTCCAACAACAGTCTTCGGCTGAGACAGGGTTAGGACTAGGACAACTGCAAGTTGAGCCAGCAGGACCCAAGCGATTGTTTTAAAACAGAGCTGACTACTAGCTAGCAGAAACAAAGCTACTCAGTGTCTGAATAGAATGAGCGCTTTAGTCTGGGCCCACAATTATAAAATGGTATGCTATTTAAAAGAAAGAAACACAAATATAAATGCAAGCATGTACTCTCATGCAGACTTTTATTAAAAATTGGCATTTTTTTCTATTACAAAGACAAAATTATAATTAAAATCATAGGTAAAAACAGAAAATGAGAGAGTTGCAATTCATTCTTCCCTGGAGAATTAAATGAGTTTTTTTAAACCACCAGAGCAGTAATCAAAGCCATCTGCACTGTCTAGAGCATCAGTTTTCAAAATGTGGTGGGCAGAAACTTGGGTGTCCCTAAGACTCAGGGCATCCGTGAGGTCAATACTATTTTCATAATAACAATGAGCTATTACTTGCTTTTGGCACCGTATTGACCATTGCACTATAAAAGCAACAGTGAGCAGACACTGCTGGAGCCTTAGCAGGAATCAAGGTAACATAGAACACCAAACTGCACAACTGCTCTGTATTCTTCACCACACATCCACAGTGGGTGGGGAGGGGTGGCCAGTTTCATTTAAGATGAAGCAGTACAAATTATTCATTTTATTAAATCTTGATCCTTGTGTGACAAAACAGGAAGTAAACACACAGCATTTCTGCAGCATACCAGGAGATAGTGTGGAGGAAAAGCGCTTATGTGATTGAGTTGCAAGCTGAACCAACTGCTATTTTCATGGAACACCATTTTTACTCGAAAGAACAAATGACAAACTATGACTATTCAGGTATCTGGCATTTTCTTGAAAACGAACAAAATGAGCCCGTCACTTCCAAAGAAAAAAATGACAGTATTTTCTTGCCAATGATAAAAGCTGTTTGTGAGTGAAAAATAGAATTTTGGAAAACATATTTGCCATTTAAGAGCTTGATAGCTCCTCATTAATTAAAAGACTTTTCTAATGAGAGAACAGATGACATTAGGAATGTGGACTTTTTTTTTAAGGGGGGAGATTACTGCAGAATTAAATATGTCAAGATCTGGAACTCTGCATAACACAGTGAACTAACTGGTTCAAATCACCAATGCACATTATAAGTCATACATGGGTAAAAGATTGAAAGACCAGTATGTTACAAAATATGATTTCAGATTCCATACTGCAACTAACCTTTAAGAAACTATCACTTGTTGAGTTTTGGTATAGTATCAAAGATCCACAATTATAGGGCCGGCCGAGTGGCGCGATGGTAAAGAACTCGCTTGGGGTGCCAGAGGGCCCCGGTTCGGATCCCACATATGAGGGCCAGTGACACTGCCCTCTACAGCTAAGATGCTGAACAACAGCTCAACCTGGAGCTGGGCTGCCGGGAGTCGCCGGCGACGGCGTGGGCTGCAGCACCTGTGGCAGTGGGTTGCCATGGGCTACCGTATGTAGCCAGCAGCCAGCGTGAGCGGCCAGCAGCCGCAGTGAGCGGCCGTCCAGAAGCCGGCGACTGATCTGCCTCGCCAGAGAAGAGCGTGATGATGGTGCCAACTTGGGCCAGTGAAGCGACATCCTCCACAACTAGATTGAAGAACAAAACGACAGCAACTTGTCTGTTCCCCTTACCCCAATTCCCCAGCACTGTTCCTATCCCCCTAATTCCCCAATAAAAATCTTAAAAAAAAAAAAAAAAAAAGATCCACAATTATAAGAAAAAGCTATTATATCCCTCCCTTCACCAACTACATATCTGTGCAAGGCCACATTTGACTTTCTTTGCATATTTCAACCAAAATAACTTATTGCAACAGGTATAATGCAGAGGCAGATAAAGACTTTAGTTGTCTTCTAGTAAATAGAAATTCATTAAAGAGATCTATAAATATGTAAAGCAGTGCCACTCAAATGTTTTGAAAAAGTTATTTTTCACAAATTATTTATGTTAACATGTAATAGGTTTATCATTGTTATTTTAAATATCTTAAAATTTTTGTTTTAATTTATAATTCCATAAATATCTACTGTACTGTACACATGTTAACAAAAGCTCTTGGGAGCCTTAGTTTTTAAGTGTAAAAAGGGTCTAAGACCAAAATATTTGAGATCCCTGATCTAGAGAATACCACTTATCAATGTAAGTTTATTATTTTAAAATGTACATTTTAAAATTTCAATCCCTAAAGTTTTAAAGCCAAAAATAGTGCTAAATATGACCTCATTCAGTTTACTTAGTAATATATATATGTACATATATTACTACTAAAGCAATAAATAAGGGTCTAATCTGTAGGCCATCTTACAATAAAAAATAATTTTTTAACAAATTTTAAGAGTCACAATTAGAAATGCTATCTAGAACATAATGAAAAGATAAGATGAATTTGCAGGGCTAATTAGTTTATGGTTTTATATTAAGTTGTGAGAGATATATGTATAATAAATACATAATACATATATGTAGAATTAAAGATTATTCTGTCAAATTTAGTGTAATACAACAAAATGTGCGATGAGCTGATTTTTCTGAAAAGTCTTTTGTGACATAAGAAATCATACAACCTTTGAAAAGCACTGGGAAGAGAATGGCTATGAAGACTGGTGTGCTCTCTAAGAGAAGTTATCAAGCAGCTGTAAAACACTGACTCTAGAACACAGAAGAAAAATTTTGGGTGACCCTCCAATCCTAGCCCTGTTCCACAATTTATCACCTCCACTGCTATCATCTTTCACCTCAGAATTCTATGCTAATGCTAGATTTTGGAGTAGGCAGTAGAAACAGGAAAGTAGTGAGAGCAGCATTCGATAAAGTAAACCTAATTTACTCATCCTTGCAAGGTATTTCCAGAGCATCCTATCCAAATAAAAGGGGGAAAAAAAGGATACCAAGCGGTTGGGATGAGGAGGAGAAAAAGGGCACCCGAGGCAAAGAGAAACTTAGAAGAAAACTGAGCATACTATAACAGGGGCCAAGAAGAATTTTAAGGCAATCAAGTATGATCAAAAGGAAAATGTCACACACAGGAAAATTTAGAAATAATAAAGTCATCCCAAAGCCATCTTCAACTTACAAAACTCTTAAAATGAACCAAAGTCCCTTTTTTTACAAATTGCATCCATCAAAATTACGATAGATCCTATTGCTCCATTTCATATAGTATAGCTTACTAATTTTAGGTTATAATTTAAAGATTCTTATTTTCATTCACTTTAAAAGCTAAACCATATTTTATTTTCTCTTCACTTAGCTTTATACTCAAAACTTTCTTTATAACAAAACTATGTGATCACTTCCACAGCTGCCTTTCAGAGAAAATTGAGACATAATATCCTAATCCAAGAAACCATGGCAAATTTGTTGCCTCAAAAATTTTAAAGGAAAATACATAGTAAGATGTTTAATCTCACTACATAACGGGTATGCTTCACAGGAATTTATAGATCCTAAAAGTGTGTCTAACACAAAAATCTGAAGAAATCAATAAAGCTTACTCCTTTAAAGAAACTAAAGTATACAGTTCCTCTTTTGGGAGCTAATTTTTTGCCCGATACAGAAGTCAAGAAACTATGTGAACAAAATTATTGTTCAGTCATAAAATTTCACCTTAACCAATGTCAAATTAAGTATATAAAGGCAAACAAGTTTTCTAAGATTCATTTCTTCCTTCGAATGTGTTCTCTGAATACTAAGTCTAAATTTTTGAAGCACAAAAATCTATTTTCCCACCAATTAAAAATTTTCCAAGTTTTATACAACAAAGATATAGATGAATATATAGATGAATATATACCTTGTTGTATATAGATGAATATATACCTTGTTGTCTACCACCTCTCTGGTTTTCACCCTCATTTTCCTGACCTATTTATGTTTTTAATACACTTTTTAATTGACATAAATAAAATTCAATCTTTTTGGTATACAGTTCTGAATTTTGACAAATGCACAGTTGTATAACATCACCAGATTTATTTTTAAGCAAATTTGCAAGGCAGATGCACTCAAGTAAAATTACAAAAACTGCTTTATCAATCCTACATATAGCAACAACAGTGTCTACAGATAAAAACCGAAACACAACCAGCATATTAAAAATGGAAAAGCCAATACTTATTTACAAAGGAAAGGAGTCATCAAATTTCAGAAGTAAAAGCTAATGTATGTCTTAATGTCGTCTTCCTCCTAGAAGTCCTTTGTTTTTAAATGAATCAACCCAAAATGATTATAATGCCAAAGGTGCTCATTTATTTATTCTTAAACAAAAGTTAATTTTAATAAAAACCTATTTTATTAAAAAGAAACTTTCCTATTTAAACCTTTGGATTTCATTGGTTGACAGCAATACAGAGTTGTTCAAAATATTACCCATGATTTCTTTCCAAATCCTATTAGAAAACAAAAAGGAAAGCCAGTAATACTTTGTATCTATTGGGGATTTTAACTAAATTTCCATCCTGCTGTGAGGCATCTTTGAATTCAGGAATTTCAAAGCAGTATCCAAATACCTAACAAGTAACTAGATAGCAAATACTGAAAATCACTTTACTGACAAAACTAAATTATGCAAAGCTCTGCTAAACTGCAAGCCATCAATCTTCTCTTGGAACAATGCCTAGAATTAAAAGGGATCGCCTTCTTTTCTTTTAATCACTTCCACTCAGCACATTAATTAATCTTATTTTCAAGGAGTATACTGTATTCTATTTTAGTATGAGATCAACTAATAATGCTTTCTTGAAACTTAGTAAAGTCCAGTTAACAACTATTTAATCCAGGTAAAGATATTTATTAGACTGCAGTGGTTCTCAACCTGTGGGTCGCGACCCCTTTGGGGGTCAAACGACTCTTTCACAGGGGTCACCTAAGACCATCAGAAAACAAAATGATATTTACATTATGATTCATAACAGTAGCAAAATTACAGTTATAGAGTAGCAACGAAAATAATTTATGGTTGGGGGGTCACAACATGAGGAACTGTATTAAGGGGTCGCGGCACTAGGAAGGTTGAGAACCGCTGTATTAGAGTATTTTTTTAATTTTCTGTATATTCGAAAATTTTCACAATGAAAAGTTGGTAAAAAAAAATCTAAAATAAAAAGGATGGACAATTATAAGAAAACAATACTGAGCTATAAAAACAAAACTTCAGTTAACATTAACTAAATATAAGCTTCACAAAGAGCTTAATCTGGTATAGTATTATCTTTTATAAATTAAAAAAATGTATTATTGGGAATCTCTGGTTCCAGGCCTTTAAGGAGATTGACATATTTGTCTGGCTCTCAGTCTGTGACCTTTAACAAAATACTTAGTTTCTCTCCTCACTGTACAATTGTTTTGAAAGGTATCTAATTTAAATATATGAAAATTATTTACATAAATTTTTTGTTTTAAGTACTCTATATCAATGTGTTGTTGTAACACTTCATTCTGGCTTTTACAGACTGTTCCCTAACTTATGTGATCAGAACAGGACAAAGTGAGACTAAGAAAAGATTTCCAATATCTCAAAAAAGGAATATTAAAGTATATCACATATAGTATCTAAAATAGCTTATCTAATTTGTTATGTAGCTCTTGCAAACACAATACAAAAGTTCCATATAAGACAATAAATAGTAATTTAGCATTTCTGGCATTATCTTAGAATGAGTTAAAATTTCCCCTCAGGTTATTTCTATAAAGATTCCTGGTACTTAGGGCAAAATGAAGCCAGTAAAGAAGTTCTTACCTATTAAGAAAGTTCACCATTTTGGGACTAAGGTGACATTTTCAAAAACAAAAACCAGGTCATTATCTAACTTGTCCAGACCGCTCAGAAAAGCTTTTTTTCCTTTCCTTCATTCTCTTTTGTGTACCATACCACTATTTCGCCTTGACTCTTGGCTTTGTTTCTTCTTTGAACTCATCTTCCCCATTCTGTTTCAATGAGTACAATCTTCTGATTTCCTCTTATTCTTTCCTTATCCTCCTCCTCCTCCTCATCTGTTTCCCCTTTTTACTTTCCCCTGTGCCACTTGATAATCACCTGATATCATCCTGTAATCAACATTAAATCAATAGGGTTTCACCATACCAGCTAGATCAGACATACCTATCCCATTTATGTACAGCTATTGAGAAATCGGTGTCTCCAAATGGTGTTGAATCCCATTCTCTCCCAGATGAAATAAATTTGAGTAAAATGAGTGTCTGAATTTGAGAGAAACATATAAATTATTCCCTAGTCAGGTACTTACCAGACCGAGATAGTTATCTTTACCTGTTAAAAGATCAAATTAAGTCGAAACTGTGACTTCTGCAAAGGTTTTATGAACCAGAAATGTCTGGTTTCTTTTCTCCCAAATACATGAAAATGGGTTTAAATGAAAGTGGCAAATTCTTATCACTAAAACAAATTGTCTTCTTTACAACCATAAACTTGGCAATCATTGACCTAAATTATTATCCCCAACAGGTTGGAATCTATTACAAGTTTCTATCTTCTAACTGTGTATTTGAAGTTAATTCTAATTTTTGGAAGTACTGCCAAAGTCTAGAATTCAGTAGAAAACTAGCTAGGTTTATCTAAGTAAGTGAGATTATCTATACAGTATGTAATACCGTGATAAGTGAAAATAGGCATTTCGTAGTTAACTGACAAGTACTATCTACCAACCAATAAGAACTTACTTCTGAAATCAATATTGGAAATGTTAATTGGTATGAACGAAGTCCTTCTTGCTCCGTGTAGAATATTATACACATCTAATTCTAAATAAACCTAATCACAGAATATGTCAAGTGGAAAGCTAATTATGCTAAATTTTAAGCAATTTTTAGGTTGGCTATATTATATATACTGTGTTGGCACTCCTTGTTCATATTCAATACTGCCAATATGCAGTGGGGGGAAAGGAAAAGCTCTTCTGGGAGTTTTAAATGGGGAGCCAGGCTACTGCCAAGTAGGATATACTTGTGCTTATGCCGCAGGAAAGACAGTAATTTAAACTACCAGCAAAAATTTTCAATTCAGCTTTTCCTTAGAAAAGCATCTATCTACAATGGAATTGAATTAAAAAGAGTTCACGTTATGTGAATTTGCCTTATAGAAGGTTTAACTGGAATGGAACTATTCTGTTATGTCAAAAGACACCCATATTTGGTGAACTGTAATGAGAGGTGGGCATAGCACTCCATTCTTCTAATATCATTCTAGCATCTAGAGTCCCAGGCCAAGGTAACGACAATGGCAGTGTCGTTCTTTCTTGAGTAACAAAAATGGATAATCCAATGTTCTAATGATATTTATAAAGATTATAAGCCAAAAGTCAATTCCTGCCCTAAATTCAAAAATACAGAACATTTACAAAGATAACTACTCTAAAAGGTATAATAAATGCCTTATAAAAAGACACAGAGAGGTGACACCATGCTGAAGTTGGAGAGGTTATCCATGCAACTAGCTTTTACTTTTTTCTTAAATTATAAAAGTAATTTGTGATGATACAGAATTCAGAAAAATACGGGGAAAAAACTCACTCATAATTACACCAGCAAGGAATAACCACTACTATTTTGGTATATTTCTTCCAATCTTGTGTGTTTGCACACACACGTATTTTAACAAAACTGGTAGCATAACACAATTTTGTATCCCATTTTTTTCACATGCATTTCTCCTATCATTATATATCCTTCTAAGACATGCCAGTATAGCTTATGAATACGCTTTTTCTTATTGGTTATTTTTTTTTTGTATTATAACATTTAATAAATGAACACCTTGTAGAAATGTCTTAGTCCACAGCTCTATTTCCTTAGATAACTCCTTTAAGTGTACTGTTAGGTGGATCAAAGTAGGAACAGTTTTAAGGCTCTTGAAAAGACCAAGATTCCCTCTAGAAAAGCTGTACCACATTATGAACTCTAACCATGATGTATGAGTGCCCTACCTCTCCATGCAGTTCCTGACCTTACAACAGAACCATGCTTTTATAAAGCTTAATAGAAAACCAAGAATTAGGCATACTTTGCCATACTTATCCAAGTTTAAAATATAAAACAGTTTAATACAGTTAATATTAGTATGTGTCTATTACCTATATATAGGAAATATATGATAATAAAAGTATGGGATGGCATAAAATAGAAGCACAGGGCTTAAAAACATCTTAGAGATCATCTAGGTAAACACCTAGCTTTATAAGTGAAGAAAACTGAGGGCCCCCCCCCATGGAGATTTCTCAATCATACAGAGCAAGGTAAGCATAGGACCTGAGTTTCCGAATTCTTAGACCTTAGCACTATCTAGGAAATCGGTCAAGAATTTAGTGGCCTCATTAATAAAATGGAGTTTAATCATGGGCTTTTTAAATCACTTACAAAATTCTGGTTTTTTATGATTTAGGTTATAACAGTCTCTCCAGTGAAGGGAAAAGAGCACTGAAACTGCTTCTGAACACATAGGTTCAAACACTGGTTTTACCCTTCACAGAATGAGGATTTTTACAGTACCTAACTAATTTTCTTGGGAAGATTAGTAATGTGTGACAATCTTGTCAAGCGCTAAACTATATTCAATTTAAGTTGGTTTAATTAAAACTAAATACATTTTAAAGTGTTTTGTTAGAACATGAGTTATTAACCAAGAAATGCCCTACAAGAGAGCTGGATTCTCTTTAACTGTAATTTCAAGGGAGGGCAAAGCAAGTATTACATAGGATAGCAGGTACAAAGTATTTCATGGAAATGGGAATATCTGAACAAAAGCTATAGCAGAAGTAAGGCCAGGTAACTAACCTATCATAAATGTAGAAAATGAAAATAACCTGGTGTTATACAAGGACTTACCAGGGAGGTTTCGTACATCAGCTGGTGCAAAAAAAGATGGTATTTTTAGGGAAAGATGGGAGATTGAAGAAATGTATCTTCTCAGTTTGTAAGACAGAAGGTAAGGCAGCTCCATCAACTTGTACCAAAGGGAGTAGCTATGTAAATGAAATTCTGCTTTTAAGATATCTATTGTATAGTCAGAAAACTCAAGCCCTGTTGTACAAGCTCTAGCAGCATGGCACAAGAGAAGGGGGAAAAAAAACATAAAAAAAGAAATGCTGCTGAAGCTTCTCTTTTCCGTTGCAGTAGATATCTTTGAATTATAATACATTTCAGATAATTGCCACATAAAGAATTTCCAAGTAGGGAATCTATTTGTCTGAGTTTTGACAAAATATGAAAGGCACAAAGACCACTCATGAGGGTGGAAACACATACATTCTACACACAGTTCAATTCTGAAAGCTTCTGAGCCTAAAGAAATTGGGTGTTTTTTTGTTTAAATGTAGGGAAGTGTTACAGTTTACCTCTGTCCTCTGCAAGCAGGTGTATTCGTCAGGGTTACTATTTCCCAAGGCAAAGGAATCAGGGTTTTGGGCTTTTTTTTTTTTTCACGTTGTGACTGACAATCAAACGAGGCTACTGCAAAGAAAGAACAAAGAAGAGGGTATTATGCATTCATTTGCACAGGATCCTTAGTCTTAACCTTCAATTTTTTCAGTTGTCCCTACAAATAAAGCCAGTCAGCCTAGGACCTGGTGAAAAGCCAGGAGCACGGGAGAGGCGGGAAATCTCGGTTAGGGCGCCCTCCCCCGGGGCCAGCCAGCCTCCCCAGGGTCAGTGCCAGGGGGTAGTCGCGTGCTCTGACTTCTGTTCTGGTTCATGGTCGCCTTTTCCTTTCTAGGCGAGACCGAGGAGCTGGCAGTGGAGCCAGCACGCTGGGACAGACCGCGACCTGGGCCCGTTGGACGCCCACCCGCACGCCGCCGATCCCCACACCCGTCCCGGTGCCCCGCCGGTTCCCGTGTGCAGCTGGAACTGGGGCTCAGACCGAGCTCTCCGCCAGCCCCCACCCACGCAGGTTCCTGCCCCATCAGGGCAAGTCCCCACCCTCGCTGCACGCTCCAGAACCACCCCCTCCCCAGAGAGGAGCCCGGGGGCGAGTACTTAGCTCGGACCTCCCGGGCCGCGGAAGGGGCCCAACCTGCAGGCGCGCTGCAGCCGTTCCTGCAGCCGCGGGAACCGCGCGTTAAGTGCCCTGCAAGGCTGCAAAATGGACTCCCGGCGCCGGCTGGGCCCCGCCCCGCCGCCCTCCTCCCCCTGCACCTCGGTCCGCCTCCCCGGCTGGGTTTCGCCTTTGTTCCACCTCTCGAGGTTCGCTTTTCCCGGGGAGAGGGAGAGGGTGGGCAGAGGCGGGCGTCTTTCGGGGGTCTCCCACTGCCGCCGCCCACGGTGCGCCCGAAGGCGGCAGAGTCCCGAGCGCCTCGCTTCTCTCCCTTCCAGAGGGGCCGCGCGGCGCCGGGAAGCGGACGTCGACGCTGGAGACGAGTGGGCTTGGCCTAGATAGCTGGAGCGCGGGCGCCAGGAGGCGGCACCGCCCCCGGTGGAGCCACCCGGGAAGGAAGCCGGCGCGCAACAAAATGGTTGGGTTTGGATTGTTGTACTTTTTTTTTTGTTCGTTGCATTTTTAGGAACAAAAAAAAAAGCCCAACCCTTCACACCACTTCACCTGCATCTCTCAGGACCAGAAGCCCGGCTACAGCGGCTTTGGGGGGACACAGACAACTGCCCAGCACCCCACAACCGGGTGGGTGGGATTGGTCCTCTTGGGACCAAGGTCTGGGCTCCAGCCAGAACACAACCATAGCAAGATTAACTGTACCCCCGCCCCAACCTTGCATCTATGTTTTAGCAGGCTTTAGGCCGAACACTAGCGACCCAATTCTATTTTAAGATTTTCTTTTAGGAAGAACACCATTGCTCTTTCCTTCGGAGAGAAGGAAGACCTTAAAATTGGTTTTATCTGCTACTAATGGTTATTCAGTCAGTTTTTGACTCACTATTCTGATGTCCGGCCCCCTGTATAGGGAGGGACCTTATCTAATATCAAACACATTAAACACTTGCCAATGAGCAGTTGTAAGAAGGGTGCAAAGATGAAAGAATGGTTTCTCTAAATTTTAGGCTTGGGGGAAGTGAAGCAAGGACAAAAAAAAATCACACAATATGCCCTGGGGTTGAGTTCGCCCGGTAAGGAAGGTTGGGCTTCGGAAGTATAATCTGGGGAAAAGGTATTCAGAGGCCTACCATACATAATACTTGTGCTCTGTGACTAATAAATGATTAGCTCAAACCCCATAAAAAGCACCTCCCCTCTCCCTTCTGAGACCGCCAGCTCCTTGCCATGCCCAGGGTCCCTTAAACCTAACTGTGCCTTTGTAAAACAGTTCCTATATTTGTTTCATTTAGTCCTCATAAGAACACTACCAGGTGGAAATTATCCTCATCCTATGGATGATGAAATGGATGAAGTGATTTCTCCTAGGTGAAAAAACAAGAGGCAGAGCTGAGACTAAAGTCAGATACCAGGTATAGGTTCTTTCTATAGCATAGTAAGTGCCAGAAAACTGCACCCCAGCCTTCCACTCAGTGTTGTTAAAAAAACAAACAAACAAAAAAACAGCCTGACTAACTTATAGAAACATTTTAAATACCTTCATATTAAAATGATACAAGAGCAAAAGTTAGTAGCTCATAAATCACAACTTATCTTTAATGTAATCGCATAATACAGATTTATATAGTTAGATCTGGTTGGTGACAGACAATAAACTGCCCAACTAAATGTAAAACACTGGTTAAATATGCGTAGAAACCCCTAAAGTTAAAAAAATTGCTAAGAGTATATGAAAATCTTAAGTGTAGAAAAATAGGAAGAATAGCTTCTCTTCCCATGGTCCTAATAAAATAGCAATCAGGGAATCACCACATACAGTGTAAGTAGAAAAAAGAGTGACTGCTGGATTAAAACCTGCATACACAGCTACATCCTTCCTGGAAGAGCACAATGTAACTAGATCCTGTTAGAGATAACACTGAGGGATTGTCAAAATTCTATCACACTGGAATTTCCTTCTATTGACTGGCCTTTAAGAAAGTAAACTAACAACTGAAAATTGGAATTCATGTCAGCACAGCAATACGGCTATGGATATAGTAATTTGTTTCTGTCTTTTGTGATAAACACAGTTTATAGGTAGAATGTATATTATATACACATATGCATATTGTATTGATTTATTTTATGCTGTTATTTTTGTCCTAAACCTTGACAAAGGCAAGATGAAAGAATTTTTGGAAGATAAATCTGATAACAAGGTCCAACACCTTTGTTGGACACCTATCCGACACCTACCAAGACATGTGATCATATGTTCCATCAAAAAAGAGACAGTGCCAAAATTTTGGTGTACACTGAAATGTAAATTGTCAGAGTGGAGGAACATCTAATAAGTAAGCCTGGAGCAACCGTGTGCAGGAGAGAGATGCTGTTGAGCCTCCTCAGATACACTGGAACTTTTTATTATTAATCTGTCCTTCCCTTTCTGATAGCTGCCAAAGTCCTGAGTGCAAGCCCCAACATTCCCCAAGGAGAATTTCCGGCAATACAAAGCACTGACATTGCATGGTGTAGTGAAGAGTAGAGGCTTTGGAATCAGTTCTGCACCCACAGCCTAGGTCTGCCACTTACTAGTTGTTCAAGTTACTCAGCATCTCAAAACCTCAGCTTTCTCTTCTGTAAAACGGGGACTATGATTCACTTGATTATGGTAATTAGATTGTATATAAAGCCACTAACTGTATCTGACACATGGGAGGTACTTAATAAATGGTTGCTACTGTTATATGAAAGAAGAAAACCATGCTGTGTTTGATTACAGTTGCCTTGGATTTGTAAATTTGAGGCTTGCATGAATGATAGTCTTAAGCAGAGATAAACTGCCTATGCCGTAGAGGAAGCTAGCATCATAATTTCTGCTTTTCCACACCCAGCCTAAGGTGGCCTTTTAAAAAGCATATATCATTCCACTTCTATAACTCCTTCCCTGTGGTTAAAGAAAGGCTAGGAAAAGGAAAACACTAAATGAAGACTGCAGTTTTTTAAAAAGTTCTAGAATTTCAGAGAAATTGAACATCCAAAACATTCCATTAACAGGGAAAAAAACTACCTATAAAAATAGTTACCACAAAAGACAGAAACTTACCAAAGACTTGATGAAAATGAAAGGAATTAGTCCCTAGTTTGAAGAAAATTCCAGATTCCATATATTTAGGTTGTACAGTGAAGATCATGCATTACATGGAAGAAATAGCAAGATCAGTTAGCTTGGGAAGAGAATGAAATGCTGAAGCAACAGTAAACTTGGCCTTTAGTTGTGCTGTTTCTGTAGATGGAAATAAAAATTGTAACAATAAATTGTCAAAAGTAATTAAGATGTTACTAAGATATGCTTATAATTATACTCAAGATTAGCACCAAAGGCACGCTGATCAAGGAATTTCCCATTTGGTTGAGGAGACAAGTCTTAAAAACATGAACTAGTTCAGGAACAGTACATAATAGTGGCTATTTCAGAGCCAACATGAATGGTGAAGGCAGATCAGAAGCATCAGGGACAATTGTCACAGGGCAGGTGGGAGTCAAATGAGACCTTTATAGGATTTGAAGATAAGAAAGAAGGGCATTGGAGTTGAGCACAAGCTCAGGATAGGAATGAGCTTCCCTGATACTGAGCACAGAGTACATAGCCTGTTTTGGAAATCAAGTTTGAGGCCAAAGTGGAATGTTTTGAATGTCAAGGAGTTGAACTTCATTCTGTAAGAAATGGGTAGCCACTGAATCATTATGTACGTGGCACCAGCAAGATGAAAGAATTTTTGGAAGATAAATCTGATAACAAGGTCCAAGATTTAAGGGAAAAGAAATTTCCTTTACTTTAATACTTTTGAGGTTTCTTGTTGAAAATTATAGATTTTTTGAAATACAATTATGTATACAATTATATATATATATGTATAAAAGTACAGCATATAGTTAAGTCCTATTAACTTTGACATCAAATACAGTTTATTAAAGTTCTCAATTTGTAAATAAAATGCAATGTTGAAAGAATTAACCATGACAAATATTCTCCTAAAATCTTACAAAAGATTATATGTGTGTGTATATATATTTATATGTCAGTCATATATAAAATTTTATCTTGCATAAATGATCTTAACTATGTTATACTAAAGTTAATATATTGCTTAGCTGCCTTTTAGAGCATGACTCACTAGAACTTTAAAAATCATTATACACACACACGCACACACACTGAAATGTAGTGCTCTGTTCTGATATTTTAACAATGATTAATTACATTCAGTTACGTTAATGTTTTTCTATATTTAAGTCTTACATATGTAGAATTTTATTCTTGATGAAGAGTAACTTTATGAAGGCTTTAAGAAATGATTCATTCAAGTAAAGACTAACAAATACTGTATATATTTGCAATTGTTTTAACAGAACTTGATTGATACAAATTGTTTATTTTGGAGTCTTTCTGTTGAGTTCACTCATCATTATGTGTTCTATTTTTATCTTGAGAAAAATGTCAATTATGATAAAGCCATAATTTCAATTTAGAAAACTGCTTTCATCCTGTTCTATGGGACAGTTTTTTAATATTTTCTTCTACAAATAAGGGTACAATTGGGATTTGGGATATGCAGTTTTCGGTACCTGGTACATTCCTGTACTTTCAATACACTCTATTTTAAAGGCAATATTACAGCACATAGAACTTTGGTTCTGAAGATCTACTTCAGATTTATATCAATCAGCTTGTAGATTTATCAGATACTTACCTATACAGCATTACACAAGAAATACATGGTTCATGTTTCTTAACATGAGCCCAGCTTAGCCTCTCTGATATCAGTGCATGTGGCAATAGATGCCTTGTCAAAAATGTGTTTTCCTTTTAACGGTTTTGTTGTTTATAATACCATACTGGTTGTTGCTAGAAGGTAGCCAGATCTCCACGGGTTTGAGCTGGATCTAAAGCAGCCCACACCTGTCCCAGTCAGGCAAAAGACACAGACAATTCAGAAGATGCATGAGACTCATTATACAGTATCAGCAGAGTTTAGGTATTTTGTGACGGTCGTTGACCTCCATGTCGTGAAATTCAGTTTTTCAGTTCTCATTTTCCTTGATCTCCTAGCAACATTCACTGCTCCCTCCTTAAAAGGCCCTCTTTTCCTGGCCTTTAGTCATATCATGTTCACGCCTGGCTTTTCTTTTCCCAACTCAGAAGCACTTGCTGGATCATCCTCTTCTGCCCAGCACTTAAATTCTGGAATTCTTTGAACACTCAGTTTCAGGACACTCTCAGGACTTCACCTACCATTTAGTGACTCTTGCATTCCTTGTGAAGCAGCGATCACAAACTGATCACCTATTATTACACCATTTTTAAATGATGAAAACTGTTTGAATTAAATACTTTAGCAGAGGCACGTTCCTCCTTTCTCTCCCATA